TGCACTTATTACCAACAACAGCTTTGAAATATTTTCTTTTGGTTGGCAATATCAATAGAATAAAAGTTCTTATAATGCAACAAACAGAACATAGAGCTAAGTATAGAGCTAATGCTGTAACCTGAAGTGGAGTTAAGGTTGGTCTTAGGTCTAAGTGTAGAGCTCTAATACTGTTACTTTAAGAGGAGTTAAGGTTGGTCTTAGATTGAAGTGTAGAGCTCTAATGCTGTTACTTTAAGAGGAGTTAAGGTTGGTCTTAGATCGAAGTGTAGAGCTCTAATGCTGTTACTTTAAGTGGAATTAAGGTTAGTCTTAGATCTAAGTGTAGAGCCAATGTCATTACATTAAGTGGGGGTTAGGTAGTCCCTGGTATCCCTTGTCTGACTACCTCCTGGTATACAGGGTAATTAAAGAATAGTGAAAACAACTGGTGTTAGATAAGTGTTTTTTTTCATTACTATGAGATGTGGACAGATTTTGCTGAAACTTAGGCTTCTTCAGGATGACAAATTTGTCAAATTTTACCCATGAAGTAATAAAATTCTGGCATGGGCACATTTTTATTGTTATTGCTATTATCAAATCACACCATGTGACCAAGTCTTTTGCTCTATGCTATTCCATAAAATTTACTTTATTGCACATTTTAAGGTAACAGGTGATGTTTAAGATATATGTAACATGTTCATTCTCCTACTAGAAAATCAAATGTAATATAGGTCAAAGGTCAAAATATAGGTCATAGTGACCTACTTTTACCATATGACACACTATCTCACCAAGGTGAGGTAGTAGAAAGATGGACGGAAGGACAAATGGACATAATGCAGAACTATAGATTACCACTGTTTTTGGTGAGGGACTAATAATACTATTATGTTTTAAAAAAAATATGGTTCCTCTCATTCCTTGATACATCTGACATGTAATTTTATCTTGGTCAGTCAAAAAATTATTAATGTATGTTCTCAAAAGAGGGCAAGGTAAACAACAACAGAACAGGTAATAATTTACTAAATGATTGTTAATTATATCGTGCATCTTTCAGAGTAATTATGTCATAATTAAGATTCAAATTGTTCTAGAATTGCATGTATTTATCTGCCTTATATTATCTTAACACACTTACTAGCATATGGTCTCAGTTCCGAAGCTGTCGAACTGGTTTGTTTGGGTTATTTTTTAGCATATATCAAAATTTGCATTACTTTTACATATAGCCTGGTCTGTGAAAATGGCATATAGGCAGTGAGTGTAGCTGTGGTGCATCTTATCATCTTACGACTTATAAATAGCTAGGTGAAGACCGTTATCTTACACAGACAAATGTTTACAGTCAAGGTGGTTCTTAATCTGACTTCAGAATCATTATGTAAACATTAATATATACGATTTTTTATTTATTTTTTTTAAGTTAATAAACAAAATATACAGTAATAGGTCACCGCGGACTACAAGAACCACGCTGATGGTATGTTTGGGATGTCATTTTGACTTCTATGATTGCCTTTGATTCAATCATAAACAAGATAAATTATGGTATTTTCAAATGCCTTTTTGAAACTTAAACATACCTTAACTAGTTGCTTTTACTTGTTTGAGCATCTACACTGAATTCTGTGAGAAAGTGACTTTTATGGAATGTAATTTCTATACAATGTAGTGTACAAAAATTCTTTTCGATGAAGATTTGATTGTGCATCTGTGGTGCATTAAATTTTTCAATTCTCCGAATAAAATCAAAATAAGAAAAAGTATATGACTGTATCAGCTGAATGATCAAGAGCCTAGTGGAGGAGTAATATACAAAGTGATCGACGACAACAAGGTGCAGGAAGTTTTGGATCCCCTGGGGGATATGGATTCTGTGGTATATGTTGAGGCTGGGAGGTTCACAAGTAAGGTTTGTTTATCAACTATTACACAATTGAGGAAATGTAAATGCTACAGAGTATAAAAATAGACACACCTATCAAAGTTGAGATTAACCAGCCACCAAGTAAAAATTGTGTTGTGATCTTGTGAAGATATAAACAGTCTATACTGCTCAGCCCACGGCATATCTATACTAAAACAATACAGCTGAACCACATGTAAATTGTTATGTAGATCTAACCCTTTTTCCTGAACCTCATCTTCCTGTCGGGCACTTTTCCTGATCTCCAGTCATACAATCAAGTAGAAACACAGGCTTAACCTCTAACATTAACTTCTGAGTCTAGTAGAAAGTAGAGACTTTTTAACACTAACATAGTGTTTTATCTTGTTGAGTTAAAACTTTGTCATGTTGAGTACCGAGTCAAGTATTAAAAAAAGAACTTTTTCAACTCTAACATAAATTTCTGTCTTGTTGAGTATTGCGTCTAGTAGGAAATAGAACCTTGTTGGGTACTGAGTACCGAGTCTAGTAGGAAATAGAACCTTGTTGGGTACTGAGTACCGAGTCTAGTAGGAAATAGAACCTTGTTGGGTACTGAGTACCGAGTCTAGTAGGAAATAGAACCTTGTTGGGTACTGAGTACCGAGTCTAGTAAGAAATAGAACCTTGTTGGGTACTGAGTACCAAGTCTAGTGGGAAATAGAACCTTGTTGGGTACTGAGTACCAAGTCTAGTAGGAAATAGAACCTTGTTGGGTACTGAGTACCGAGTCTAGTAAGAAATAGAACCTTGTTGGGTACTGAGTACCGAGTCTAGTAAGAAATAGAACCTTGTTGGGTACTGAGTACCAAGTCTAGTAGGAAATAGAACCTTGTTGGGTACTGAGTACCAAGTCTAGTAGGAAATAGAACCTTGTTGGGTACTGAGTACCGAGTCTAGTAAGAAATAGAACCTTGTTGGGTACTGAGTACCAAGTCTAGTAGGAAATAGAACCTTGTTGGGTACTGAGTACCAAGTCTAGTAGGAAATAGAACCTTGTTGGGTACTGAGTACCGAGTCTAGTAAGAAATAGAACCTTGTTGGGTACTGAGTACCAAGTCTAGTAGGAAATAGAACCTTTTCTCCACTGAACTGTTTTTTATTTAACAGAAAATCTTTATTTTCTGAATACTGAGGGCTGCTACACCAGTTATAAACACAAAATAAACTTATTTCATCCCATAGCCTCAGTAATTCAACATAATATTTCAAAAAACTGACACAGGCAGAAATTTATTTGGTAGTCTATTGATCAATAGGAAATGGGATTTCAATGTTTATTAGCTGAAGCATTTGTGTAAGGAGAAGTAACAGGCTATAGTTGTAAAATGCACAAAAATTTATATATTTTTTTTACATCTTTGCTTAATTAGTTAGAATTAAGATTCCAGCAACATGTCACTACTTTCTTTGTTCTTTATGCATTTATATCATTTGCTAAGAGTTTGATCTTTATCAATAGACTAAAAACTGATAGCATAACTGCTTCTGTGTTTTGAAACACACTAAAACAATAATGGTAATTAAATTCTACAACAGATTTTTGATATTCAGTTCCAGAACTATCACTGTCTGTGTTTTATACTTTCAGTACTTCCTATAGAGTTTCAGCTTTTACAGTACCCCTGTTACTTAACATGGCATATGTTGTAAAGGTTACAGTGTCTCTGATCACTTCGTTTAAGATTTCATTTTGTGGCAGTATTTGTTAATACACCACAGCTATTAAACGCAGGTAATTCTTCAGCATGAATTTGTTTGATTTTGGTTAACCTTTGGTTTTAAGAGCTCAAGAACTTTTGGCATGTTCAGTGGTGGTGATTCCAATCAGTGACACATCTATTTTTTTTCTTTGCTAAAACATTTTATTTGCAGAATAGAGCAGCAAGTTCAAATTGAAGTTTTTTTAATCACTTGTAAACTAGAACAAAAACTTGCTGACCCAAAAAGGGTTGGGAGTGTCTCAATTTGGGAGAAAAGACCTCCAAGATGTTCGAAATGTTATTTTAAGTAATACTTAAGACTAGATCTAGCTATATAGTTGCACCACTATTTTTACAAACTTAATGACCCTCTATAATCTCTTACATTCATTGTTTTGTCATTAAATTTATATCATTCATAAAGTACAGGTAATTATTCAACAATATAAGGTAGCACAAATGGTGGTTTTGAGACATTAAACACAGGTATCTATTTGATCTTTGACAGACATGACAAGTTCACTGCTTCCATTTACTCAAGTACCATATAAGGTGCAAAACCATTCAACCATTTTACTTTGGTCAAAAAAAACTCCCAAAAGTTATTCAATGACTTTATTGCTCCTTTTCATAAAACATTGTTGTCTTTATAGTTTTGATGAAACATGCGTCTATGAAATTATGTATATTCACGAAAGTCAGAGGAGACCTGAGTTATACCTGTAATTCTAAATGTGCTAAATCTTTATATATGTTTCCTATTGTTTAATGAAAATACTTTAAGAGATATATGACAAATATCAACAGGTTACATAATAACAATTAGTTATTTCAGTAAACAGATAATGCTATTAAGTTTATTTCTTTATTAAATTGTGATGTTTCTGAAATTTTTGAGACTACATAGAAACTAAAACACATTGCTGACCAGACAATCCCTGTAATGATAACCAGAACCTGAAAAGTGTTAATCAATTAAGACAAAAGTGGAAGTCCCTGTTTTTTCTCCCCACAGAAACTAATGGAACAATCAACCAGGTTTGTTGATTAGTGGCTTAGCAGCTTAAATAGAAAGATATTTTGACCAAAATGTTAATCAATGACAGACATGGCATTAAAGCTGTAAAGCTTAATATGATGAAAAAAAAAATTTGACCAAGAGTTGTGAGTTCAGAACAGAAAGGTATAGATCCTGACCAAGGATCAATGTCTTATGCCACAAATAGCCTCTTAACTCTTTTATTTCAACAGCTGTCTGACCCCTACCCCATTACCCAAGTATGGGTTTCAGCATGTGCAGAGGAAAAGGCCTAGGTCAAACTGTGACACATTGTTGTATATAGGTGGGTATGGATTTCAGCAAGCATGTGTATACTTACACAGAGTTGAAAAGATAAGCTCTTCCCTGGCTACCTTGGAATGACTGTAAAAGAAAAAAGAAAACATATCTAGAGAAGTTAGTGAATTAATAATTTATCACAATTAATTGACTTCAGTATCACTTGTAACTAAATCAGACTTTCAGTGTATAAGAATCTAAACTCTTGCAAAAACATTGGTGTTGCTTATGACCTTCAAACAGTTTCAATAAAGGAGCATGTCTGCATGTAACTATGTAATCTGTGTCCTGAAAATAGGTCAGTCAGATATGCTATTAACTAAGACTGAGGTTGACCTTTATCATAAGTGAAGGTTATTTATAGTAATAGTATAGACTTGTTTTATTAAAGTGGCTTTTGTTCACAAAGGAAGATACTTAACATATACATATTAGAGGTAACCTTATTTCAGCTTTTTTTTTTGCACTAAAGATAATGCATTAGAATAATTGTATACGCTAATTGCAGTTTCTGAATGTCATTAATATACATGTAACAGTTATTGTGAATGTGAAAATTCTTCTTTGTATTAATATTTTGATCAAAATTGATGATGAGCGAAGATTTGATTATGTTAAAAAAGGTACATTTAATTTACAATTACCTGTATCTTAATGTTAATATTAAAAAATGTATCACAGTAAAACCTGTTATTTCAATTAAGATTGTAACACTGATCCTGATGTAAAACTGTTCTGGATTGACGGAGGTTTCTTTTAATGCTTTAATGATCATTTTACAGATCATTAAATTGCCAAGTTAACAATATCACGTTCAGAATTGAAGAAAATATATCAAATTATAATGGCAGTGTTAATGCATAATTTTAAATCATTCAATTTTTACAACTACAGATTGTATCTCCCAATTTTCTGAATCTGTTAGAGTAGTTAATTCTAGGGAGGGGGTCAGGATAGTTACAACCTGTATGAAACATGCAAATCTTGCTAACAACTTTTTTTTTTACTTTTGTGTTCATCTGTAAAAATAAATGGACAATTATTGATTAAATTTTTTTAAATTCTAGAGTTTGTGGTTATATTATCATGAAATTTTTTTTTTTTTTTTTTTAAATTTAAAAAAATACAAATGACTTCAGAAGTAAATTCATTTACCCACATGCAGCAATTATATTAACATTCTCTGGGTTAGTTCCAGATGCTGGAGATCTAGATGTCTCTAGTGGTGTCTTCACCATCCGTCTTTTGTTAAATTTAATTGACATTTGCAGTAAAATTACACTTTTATATAAAGTCAGGAAAGAGATCAATTTTAATTTTGTCTAAATCTTTGGCGCTTACAATGAAGATAAATGGACTTCTTCCGTTCTGTGTGACCTACATTTTCCAACATATATATATTTGTTAATCACTCAACTTTTTCAGAACTACAAAAAATAAGTAAGTTACATTCTCTTGATTGAGGTAGACCTAATAAGAAAACCAGCTGAAGTCAAGGAAATACAATTCCTGCTTATCTGAGTTTAGATAGTAAGCAAGACAGAAAGTAAAATACTGTTTGATCTCTTTTCCTACCATGTTGCTAAAAGTGTCGATGATTTTTTTTCCACATCATTTCTATTTCATATTCTCCAAGTTGTATAAGTAATCAACTCAAAATTGCAGAGTGTGAGAGTTTTTTTCAGAACTTCCTTTTCACAAAGTATTTATCTGCACCGACATCATTGCTTTTACTGCTGGATGGAGAACAATAGTCTATTTAAATGTTATTATTAAGAAACGTTGCGGAAGATGTTTTAGATAAGATATATGTCTGACTGTCATTTGACTGCTTGGGCGAATATCTCAATATTGTCACATCTGACAATAATTATAATAATATGCTGCTTTTATTTCCTATTGACTTACCAACCAACCCCATAATGATTATTTAATGCTTTAGGAAGCAGATTGGATAATTTTCACAGCAAGCACTTCAGACAGAGAAATCACAACCTGAACTGGCCTAGTTCTGTTGCCAGACAGAAAATTTCACATCAATCTTTCAAATGTTAATTATCAGGTTAGATTTAAAAAAAATAACCTTACAATATACAAACCAATATAAACTAAATCTTGTTGGAAGTTCAGGGCACAGAATAATCAATACATGCATGCACACTCTTTCATTGTGTATTGCCTTGTGTCTAGTACAAGAAGGTACTGTTTTCTGTTTCATTTTGGGATAGGTACAATGTACTATTCTTGTTTTTCATTCATGATTGTGTTTGCAGTAGAGTCTTGTTTATTGTTTGTTTTTCAAATTAATATTCAAAAGAGCCATGTTTGATATCCTAAATCTAATCTGTAAGTGGTCATCAATCCCACAAAACTCTGCCAGCCCACTGTAATTCAGCAGGGAGATATCTCCTGCTTTTGACCCCACGTTTAGACTTTAGACTAGGGTAATTGGTAAATCGTAAATTTGATTTGATTACATGACAACCATTGTCAATAAATTTGTCAATAATTTAATTATCATGAGAGTGGAGCCTTTCGGTGAGTCTGATATCAAGCCACTGGACAACATATTAATTTAATATAATAATCATGGATTATAAAAGTGTGAGACTGGTGCATTTGATATTGAATTGTTGGACAAATTGCATTTAATTAATTCAATATAAAGTTAAATCAATTTGACGACCATGAAATGTAAGATTCCTGTCATCACAAATAACTAGTATTATATTGATATCAAATAAATGAATACAATGCATATTTTTAAAATACAGGCAAATTTTAACTGGGTGTGGTACTAATAATGACTTGTTCTTTTATTCCTGGTTTCACATCACTGCTATTTAATACCTGTGACAAGTGATCTTACTGACACTGGGCAAATACTACAGAAATAAGAGACCAATTATGTAATAAAAAAAAGTAGTAATGAGAAAAATGATATAAATACCTTGGATATCAGCTCATCGTGGTTAGCTAGATGAGCTCGACAGTGTACACAGCTATAGGTACGGTGGCATTTGTTGGGCAGGTATGCTTGAAATGTTTTCACCATTTTGCGTGATGAAATACATGAAAACTTTTGTTAAAGTTGAAGTCTTTTCTTTTATCACCTTTCAATTCTTCGTAACTTCTTCTTATGAAACAATGTCAAATTTGCTTTCATGTGGTAGCAATACCACAGCGTCTATGACTAAATACAACTGGCAAGGTATAAAACACCGAGATTGTTAGGCGTGGTCTGGGCGTGTCGATATCCCTCGTCTGTCTGGGCGACTCCAGGTCTACCTTCCAAAACCCAAGGTAATAGGCTCCGGCTCAGCTCCAACACTCTCCTGTAATGGAAAGAAAATCAATTTGACTATATGTTCTCTTAGCATGCCTTGTGTCACGTTCTCCTGTGTTGGACTATATATCCTGTGAATGGATTCCATGTTTGGTTCATTCTTCCCAACATTTGGAATACAAATTGAGGAGAACCGAACAACAAAACATTATACAATGATTCATCAACAGTCTAAATGAGTCATCCAGTGATCACTCTATGCCATACCATAAACATTTTGCATTTTCAAATTTCTCATCAGCTTATATCATATATAATAGAAATATGTTTGCATGATTACCATATAAATCACACAGATTGTAAATTTCTGGGAATACTGAAGTATATATATCATAATTACTGATAAACAATTCTGATTTGTGGTCCTTGTAAATCATGCATCTTGTTTTCAAATCTTTATTTCATCATGAAATGAATTTTAGACAACATACAGACAGATTGACGTCAACACACGAAAACAATTACCTTACATGAAATATATGCTGTTACTATGGAAATTAGATTAGTATGAGTGACTGCATGTGCCATAATTTCAATCAAAATTGAAACAGCAAAATATAAACACAAGGATGTTACAGCTTCTACAGGTTCCGAGAAATCCTTTAAACTTTCACATTTAGCTCAGGCCATGGTTTATCAACGATAATGTCGTCCATGATTGGCATATCAATCATCACGAAAAAGATGTCCGTTGAATATTTTCCATCACTTACATCTTCACTTAGCTATATAACCCGGCCATTCTGATTGGTTAAAATTGGCACAATAAGTAAAATACCACGATGCCTTATGATAAGATTTCAAAATCAACACCAATGGTTTTCATATAACTATTCCAGTACTTATAATCATTGACTATCATTAAACATAGACCAGATTTAATTAACAAATGTAGATTTTACTGTACTATTTCTAATACTAATGGATTAATTGATAGTTCCATGGCCATCATGCATGCAACATGTAAAAATCTCAACTTCAACCCACACCATCCGTAAACATTCAGAATGACAAAAAAAATATCTTTTTGATATTTCCCAGTGTTTTATTCTAAACAACTATCCTTTTCACAGAGATATATTTATATATCTGAATAGCTTTTTCCTCAGAAGTGTTGGTTTGATAATGGTTATATTCTTAAAGGTGATACATTAACATCCTTACCATCACACTATTACACTTGATGTTACCATGCCATGGCTAGTTTCCCTACAAGCTTCAACAACATAACAGAAACAACAGAGCAGTATCTAATACAAAGCGTCATTCAATGCCTCTTACCCTTACAAGAGACACTGAACGTTGAACGCCTACATGCTTAATTGAGAAATTGTATAGTGGCAATTATTGTACTCACTACAAAGTTTTTTTTTATCTTTTTATTTACTTTTTACTTCACCATGGAAGGTGTGATTGCCTAATTAATTTTCAGAGAAGTATATTTAGATAACGGAAAAATGTCTATAAGACATAAATACCTGCCACCAAGAGAAATGATTAGTTTATAGTTATTGGAGGAGGGGAAGTTGTTCAATTAAATCAGCTGATGATTTGCCTTCCTCATTCTTATGGCGAGGACAAAAATATAATTTCTTCAAGAATATTTTATCTAAAAGTGTCAAATTTTTATCCTCAGCAATTTTCTACTCATTAGTTTGGCTAGTAGAAACATTGCCTTCTGAAATGTTCGAGAGAAAATATCTGCCAGCATACTATGCTTAATTCTACATACAGCCTGGTAATGGTAGAGAGCATGTTATAAAGACCAATTACATGTCCTATCTTATTGATAGGGTAGTATGGATCCATGCAAATTTTGGCCAGGATTTACTTACAGAAAAAGGCTTACAAACCTCAGTATCATTGCTAATTGTACAGGAAAGCTGTAGATCTTCAGGCAGTCAATTAGATCTGACTGTAAGTCTTGTCATATGATGTATGCCTATGTATACCATGTATCATGATAATTCTGGTAGAGTTGTTATTAAATTGTACAGTGACATGGTCTGGCTGCTAAAGAACTGCTAGTCCCAACCTGCCCTCACTATTACCATTAGTCTGTAGCTATTAAGATCAATCTATGATGGCTAGACAATGATTCATGTGACAGCTGACTTTTGCAAGGTCAAACAAATATTGTCAAGGTCAAACCATCTGAAAAGTTGACATTTTTAATCAGTCATGCATTTGTTGTTTAACAAAGTGTTTTTTGAGTAATTTCAATAATACAGAGGGTGATACACCCTTCTGGTGACCATACCACACTGATCTGAATGTGACTGCTCCACGATGTATTAATTTCAACATAGACAAAGTCAGGGCTTTTTCCCCGCAAATTTGGGAAAGGGCTTTCTCATTTTGAGAAGACAACTGATCATTTTGGAAGGAAATTTTAAGGAGTTAAAAGTAAATGTAAGGAATTTATCCATATCTAATGTGAAGTAATTCCAACTGGGAATAGAAGCCATTAAACACTGAAAATTGACTTATTTGGATCTGGACAGAAGCCTTTTTGATTTACCAAAGATACGAATGTTAGTGTTAGCATCATCCAAGTAAACTTGAAGCATCTTGAATGTATACATAATTACTTTTAAGTTTTGTCTCAATGTATATAATATATATTTATAAGGAAATCAATGTCAGAAGCCAGCAGGAGGATTGATGTGTCAATGTATTTATTATCAACTTCCCAGTATCTATCAAAAATCCAGCAACAAATTCGCTCATTTTTGTTGCCTGGTTTCACGCAGTGTCAATAGAGATTCCTTATAAGGATTTTAGATACCAAAGAAAGATACATCAGATTAAGTAACTAAATCAACATCTTATGTCACTGAATCAAACCTGGCATGTCTCCTGAATTGGATGGATCTCTCTAGAAAATTGATGGATCTCTCTAGAAAATTGATGGATCTCTCTAGAAAATTAATGGATCTCTCAAGAAAATTAATGATCTTAATTGAAATCTTTATCCATTTCCTAACTTTTGTCAACCCCAAGCCAAGGAAGAATACTACCTTTTTATTAATTTACAAACACTGATGAAGATACAAATTGATAATGACCAACTGCATCGATAGAAAAGAATTGTAATAATTTAATTTATATCAAACAATTTCAATCAGCAAATGCTTCATGTGACCAACGGTAAGTCTTTTAGATGCCAATACTGAGTCACTGGTTCGATTTTTCATGAACAATGGTGTTTAGGAAACAGTGCATGGACTGATAGGTATATACAACAAACTACCAGCAATACACTGGTGCTGCTGGGCCTTCCTTGTTTTCTCCACTTATTGTACTTGTATATAGACCACACAAATCTATAATCCACAGCTTATACATGTACCAGCTCTACTTGCACCAAGAGTACTAGTGCTTCTAAGAGTCTATGTTGTTTTGCAAGTCCAGACCTACTGTTTTCTATACAGTATACATGTGTATATATATATTTCAGATTCTCAATCTGGCCCTTGATATCTATCACCAAGCATTCTCTTGCACTCACCATCTCTCATATGGAATCTTTTTTTATACATACTGGTCACAAGCTTAGTGCCGATGGGAGATTTTCCACATCGATATTTGAACCTGTGGCACTTTCTATCCGAAGAAAACTCCCCATGGACATTCTGCTTTATACTGATTTAGTTATATCCAGTCTATACACGTACTTAATTCACCTGTTATTCATAAATAAAGGAAAATGTCAACCACTTTCATCCATATTATTATTTCAAGTTTTCAGCTCTGAATACTTAACTTAGTACTGCTTCAAACCATAGCCAATGATAACAGCACTGAGTATTAAAAAACCAAATCCTGGAAAACGGCTCAAGTAGTCACACACTGAATCTGTGTGTAGAAATATCTGCCATTTATTTTGAATCTATTTTCAAATTACTGACACATAATAATTATTGTAATTGTGACAGAATGAGTTGAATAATTTGATATTGGAATGTAATTATAAGGATTTAGATACTTTTTTACTTAACTGTGAAAAGACACAGACTTTAATGTATATTAACAGGTAACCCTCACACTTCATTATTAATGCCTGTACATATAGTATAGTAAATGTATGCTTTATCCACACCATTTTGTTGATGTAAGATCAATAAGTATATATACGCAATCAATTTACCTATACAAAAGTTTACCTGGTGTTCCACAGTGTCACGCTACCACACCTAAGCTGTCTGAATTTTTATGAAGTACCAATACAGTTTTACAAAATCAGATAATTACCAGGAAGAGTCACAAAGAGATTTATGGATTATGTATTGCCCATTGGCCCTGAATTGCCTGCTGGCCACGCCTTTCGCATGGATCCTTGATCACCTATCTAGAAAGATGGGAATTGGATTGTATGATCTGAAATGCAGTACCATGACAATATCTGATTCAGGGGCAATCTCTTCACCTTTCATCTTTGGGAGATAAGACATGGTTTGGGCTGTTACTGAATGCTGCTGGCTAAACATTTTTCCTGGAAAATATTTCCACCTATTTTCCTTGGGAGGCAAGCTTTAGATTGAACTCTCACTGAAATGCTATTGGCATACCTTATTCCTGTATTTATCTCGACCTGATATTCGGGAGATGAGACTTGGAATTTCTGCAACACTACCAGCTGCCGTCACAGTAATTATCACCTTGGAGAGTTCAAGGTACAACACCTTTAGAACAGAATCATTGTGCACAGTGGCAGTAGAGTTAATCTGATATTAATATCACGCATTTCAATCCCTGAATATCCAGCAAATCAGAACAATTGGACCTCCCTCTGGTCCATGCATCAGTAACACTGATCTGTGTTTGATGGCCAGCATGCCGTTCGCTCTTTAGGGCATAACTTTTCATATTTCTATTCTGTGGACAAGGTTCCCTAGTGACAACGAAACGAGGATAATTAAATAAACAATGCCATTAGTCAGTTGATGATGTGGCGTCCATTGGTCATATTTATGATTGAATATCTAC